TACTCGGCCCGGGCACTTGCCCTAGGTATGAATGTTGCCACGGCTCTTTGCTCACATATGAGGGCCTTGTTTCTCTCTAGAATCCATCAGAGCTGCTTCTTTGCGTCCACTGAACTTCCCCTAGAAAAGAATGGTAATTATTTTGTCTGGGTTTTTCTTGTTTCTATGAGAGTGGTCATTTGCATCTTTCTGCATCCTAACTGGAGGCAGAAGTTCCTCACATGTCTTAATTGTCAAATAACGAAGGTGGTGAAGGAACAGTCTTTTCCATTCCCCCGCCTTTCCAGGTGTTAGGAATTCAAAAGACTCTCCATGCCTGAGTAACACCCCTACTGAGGATAACCTCCCCACTCAGGGCATGATACCAAAGTCAGTGTCCAAGAAGGTGTGCTAAATGCCAAAGAATGGCTGACCCCACCAGTCTATGAGCAGCTACCGCTGGGAAAGCTGTATGTGACTTTCTTTGATCTCCTGAAGCATCACGTTTTTACCTTCATTGATTTGGTGGCCAGGGGTTCCCAAGCCATGTCCAAAATTCAGTACTCCGAATTGTTAGGAAATATTACTTTGTGTTTTTCATCTTTCTGGTTAGTGTTCTGCAATATACATATGAAAACACATGCTTCCAAAATGGCTCTTTTACAGTATTTCTATGCACTCCTACACTTCACAGAAGTCCCCATATGCAAACAATAGCTGGATAATTGTGAATGCCTTTTACCTGTTACTAAAATTGCTAATGAAGTTTTTGAGTGCCAGCAAATGACCTTACCTTTTCTTAGTTCTTTAGAGAAGACTTAACTGACTGTCTTCATTTTTTAAAATAATTTTTTGGAAATCACATCCTTAATAAAGTTTGGGAAAATAAAGTAAATTTAAGTGTGCTGAGGAATGATCATTATTTTCTGGTGAGTGCACTACTTATGGCATAATGGCTAAAATCGTTTTTTAATATTTTGAATTTATCAAGTGGAACATTTTCTGGAGAATTATATTTGAGGCTCTTTCCCTTTCAGCCATGTTTATATTATGATATGATATGAGCTTCAGTCAGTTCTCTCTTCTTATAGAGAATATTTTAATCTGCTCATCTCCAAAATACAAATCCAACAAATTTTTTTTAAAAAGTTAATTCATGTCAGTCTTATGATGGTTCAGGTGGCATTAATATTTTATGAATGGAGAGCAATGATGCTTTCATTGGTACAAGCTTCTCAAACTAGGTCTTTCTTATCTTTTGTGATGCCAGGCCAGTCCTTCAGGAAGTGTCTTGCTAGATTTGTAGTTCCCTGCTTCCTTCATTATTTTATGGGGCAGGAAAGTGTTGAATGCCTATTGTATATACCCGCCACCCAAATATATTGAAAAGAAGAGGAAATGTTAGCCAAAATCTATTTTGTAGATTGTGACCCAATAAAAGGGGCCACAGATCAAGGATATGATTCATTCTGGGTAATTTCGGAAACAAAAGCTCACTTTATAAGTTTGAATGCCATACTCCCAGGATGATTCCCAGGACCCCTGTGGAAAGGATAGAAGTGCAGGAAGGAACTTTCTTTCTAGGAATTCGTTTATCATGCTGATACTGACATGTAGAATTCCAGCATCCAGCATCAGTTTTGATGTTCTTTTGTGCTTCCCATTATTTCTTACTCTGAGGAGGATCCTCACAGTCAACAAGTGCAGTAGTTATAAAATTTATGATTTGTCAAGTTATTTCAAGAGATGCAGTATGGCTATTCCCATTCTAAAGGCACTGTGAAAGTCTAAAGAACTGAAAACTCTAGACTCAGTATATCACGTTTGCATTGGTTTAGGCCTATGAGCTTGCGTTCTTTCTTTATTGGTGTTTTTGGTGAGTGCTTACAACTTAAATTAAATTATTCAAGAAAAGTAAACCAGACAATGTTACTAATTTTTTGATGAAATGATCCCTAAATGTCTAATAATATTATGACCAAGGATAGTCTATTTAAAGAATAATCCCCTCTAATTTCTTGTCTTGTTTTGGTTTGGTTTGATTGGGGTAGGGGAACATATAATGAAAAAACCATATATAACTTTCTTTGCATGAATTTTTTTCATTCCATAAGAGTGAGTATTTTCTAATATGCTTGGCCTGGAATTTTCTTTATTGTGGCATTAAAATTGAAAGTAGCAAGTAAGAAATAAAAAAATAATTTTGTTTCCAACAATTGCATGGTGTGTGTGTTAATACCAGGATGTGGGCCCTCTTGCCAGTATCTCTTCTCCTGCCAGATGGGGTTAGAACTTTGTATGCTGAGATATTTCCCAGGAGGCAAAGAGGATGTGGGAGAGACTTATGACTCCTGAAAAGGCTGAGCTCTTTACCTCTGGTTCCACTGATTCCTTTAGTAGCAGACTATAGATCCATTCAGAGTAGACTTTTTCCCCTGGCAAACCTGATAGACTTGTGGATGTATTGCCTGCATTCCAATGTTGACTTCTCCAGTGCCACACTTGATGTACTTTGGGAGCAGGACTAGATCACAAACCTTTCATATTTTCATATTCATATTCATATTTCATTTTTCACTTTATTTCATTTTCTTATTGCTTTATTCCTGCCACAAATACTAGGAACGTTATGCTGGTGACAGACACCATGGTAATAACCTATTTCCTATTCGTTTGAGATAACATATTATAATACATCAATCTTGATAGGAGGAAAATATATAACTAGTGTTTTGTTGATAATTACAGTATTGGTGGTGTTCATAGCTTTAGAGATTTTAAGTTAAAAATGAATTAAAACTGCTATGTTATATTAAAGGAATTCAATATGACAGTAATACCTAATAGAATGACAAAATTGAATATTGTAGTTGTTATGCAAAAAAAGAAAAAGTTCAATTCTAGTTGTTTCCTGCTTCTCCATTATTGGTATCATCTTCCACTTTTATGATGCCTTCACTGGGAACCACGTATCTTATTCAGTTTTACCTTAAGGATAAATTGTATGGAGTTAATAATAAAAAGCTAACATAAATCTGAGAGGAGAGATTATACTGGGAAGGTACTACCCTGGAAAGAATTTTCAGAGTTTGTATAGGTGTCAAAAATATATTTATGTTATTGTATTTAAGCATTTTTTATTATTTAGATTTCTCTATCATGAAAGGAATGTATGGTCCTTTTTCTGATATGCCATGAAATACAAACTCTAATGTCACATTTGCCTTTTAACTGCTACATCTTCACTAATAGCACGGAAGATCATGAGTGAAAGGGCTTGATCTAGTTTACTAGTCGTGTCACCAGCATCTACACCTGGCACAGAGTGAGGGCTCAGGATAATTTGTTCAATGCCTTGATTCTCACATACTGTGAATTACATGCATTTGTACAGTACCCTGTAACTTTCAAAACATTTTTACTTAGGTTATCTTATTTGACAATAACAACAATTTTTGAGAAGGATAGGACAGATATTTCATCTTATAAATAAGATTGCAATTCAAGTTGTTTATGACAGACCTAGGGTAGGAAGGGGTCAATGTCATAATCATCCACTGGTTTTTTATATCAATCATCATCATTCAATAAATGCTTACTATTGTTATAGGCCAGTCACTGTGCTAAATATTTTAACTGAATCATCTTATTTAACCCTTACAACAACCCCGTGATATAGAAATATTCTTATCCCCATTTAGAGATGAAGAAACGGAGGCACAACAAAGGTAGGTAACTTATGTGAGGCCACACAGCTATTAAGTGGCAGCACTGGGATTAAGGCTCAAGCCGTGTGAGCACACAGCCTAAGCTCTCAATGTGGCCTAACCACTGCGCTACAGTTTTTAGGATGTCCTTCTAAAAAGTTGGTCAGTGTGTATACATGAGCCAAATAACTACCATGGTGACTTCTTATGACTTTATTAAATTATTTGCTATTATTGTAATGGATGCTTGTTGAATGTTTCTATAAGTTTATAAGGCAGAAATGATTGTTGTTATAGGTTATGGGTAAAGAGACAGTGTAAGAGAAAAAAAGAAAGAAAGAAATATAGAATAAGGTAGTCAGACAGGTTGCCAAGATTATAAGAGAGAGAGATTGGAATTCTTCTATTATAGAATAAAGCACCTCCCAGGTGATGGAGAATGAGTTGGGAAAAAATTTATTCAGAGCAGCTCAATGTTTGTCAGGTCAGGAGATACCTACAGTCTTGTAGAAGGATGTGCAGACAGAGGAAAACTGAACAGTGCCAACCAATTGGGATGATCACGGCAGGGGGAAACCTCATTGGAACTCAGCAGTGTGGCTTATTAATGAATGTTCTAACCTGCCTGTACCAGTATAAGCGTTTGGAAGTTCTGTCTCCAGCTGGAGCTCTCCTCAACTACTTTTTAAGAAGTGCACCTCACCCTGACTCAAATACCCCAGCCGCTGAGAACACTAAACAAGCCATTGCTCCAGGAGGGCACAAGCCTAGAGATAGTTCCATTACCAGTAAGGTGCAGTAGTTGAGAGTATGAGGACTGTTTTTGTGGGGCAAATACATTAAATCAAAATCATTCTAATTGGAGTTTGACTTACATATGCAAAACAGTGTGATAATGAAGTCGGGAAGGTAGAGCAGGTTCATTAACCTTATTTTTAACCTGTAAACACCAAAGGCTATGTTCCAAGATGATAAAATAGTGGAAAGACTTCCAGATCTAGGCTCTCCTCTATCTTAGCAGATAGTGTGCTGGGCTGGCCTTGGGCAAGTCATATCACCTCTAAATTGTCATTGCCATAGTCATGTTCTATAGGTTGAATTATAAATCACATTTAATTATACCTCAGATAAATAGGCAAGTTTATCAAATAGTTTTTTAATGTTTTTCAAAGGAACAAATTGAAATAGGTGTCTGATATACAACGTCTATTTCTTTAACATTGATTTTGCACCTGTTGTCATTTGGTACTTCTGAAGGTTGTTCTCACTTGCGCCCAAAGTCATCTTTTCTTGCTCACATTTTCTTTTCCATAGAGCAAATTGGCCAGGAGATGTTGGAAAACCTCAGTCATGACAGAGAAAAGATACAGAGAGCACGTGAAAGAGTGAGTAGAAGTGGTACAGTCTTTTTACAAATTCAGTAAATGATGAGACATAAAGTAAACGGTCTTTGGCACATGCGTAGACATTGACAGTTATGTAGATGTAAGTACATCTAAAAATGGCTAGGGTGAAGGAGGGATGGAGAGTCTGGGGAGAGGGAAAAAAAGAGCAGGATGGAGAAAGAATAAGCTGACTCTTTATGTCCCCCCCCAACCAGAATGCTCCCAGGTAGAAATTTTATTTAGCTCTATAGCTGAGAAGAAGGTCATTGGGGGAGATTTTGAAGCATGTCAAGTCTTTCAGAGTGAAAGCTGTAAGATACCTCATCCTCCCTCAATTCTTTTGTTTCCATTTATATTTCTAGGACTGTGCACGTTCATAAATGGAGATTAATTACCAGATATTTATTAAACTTTGTCCGCCTGTGAGACATTTGCTTTTATATCCAGTTCAAATATCCAGTTTAAAGCTCCTGGGATTTTCTGTTATGTGTAATTTTCTAAATCTAAGAATTTTCAGAGATTGTAATAGGTGTCAAAAATGTATTTTCGTGTATTTAAGCATTTTTTATGGATTGGATTTTTCTATCATGACAAAATTATTGTTTGCCAGTGTACTTTAAAAATAATCCGAGTGCGTGAAGTTTGATTTGTTTTGTTTTAATGCTACTTTTCTCCTCCTAGCTGCGGGAAACAGATGCTAACTTGGGGAAGAGCTCCAGGGTTCTGACAGGGATGTTGCGAAGGTAAGAGCAAGGTAGGGACTTATCTTTCTCTCTCTGTCTTCCTTGTTTTAAAGTATGTTTTTCATCTGGTTGCAACTGGGCATTTTTGAGCCATGCAGGCTTCTGCTCTTAGTACCCCGTGTCAAGACCCTTTTGAAATGACAGAGCACTGATATTAACTCTTGTTTGGATGGAAACACACACTGAGTAACTTAGATTAGAGAGAAGGTTTGAGCTAGGGGGGTTACCTAAAGCTATGGAAAAAATTAGGGTTAGACATGAAGTATTTTTTCATAGCCTGAGGAAGTCCCCATGGCAGGAGCAGACTCATTTTATTTTCTATTTCGATAGCCTCCTTCTTATAGAGGGAACACAGGCCTGCAGTATCAGGAGCACACTCAGTATTAGCTTTGCTCTCTGTTGCCTTATTTTCATTTCTTTTTTAAGAGATAACTGTTTGGGGAAACATTTCAATTTTATGTATACTTAAAGGTGATTTTTAAAATGTAAAGATTATCTGAATAATCTGAATTCACATGTGCAAGCAAACAAATGTTAATGTTTTATATGTGTAACTAACCTTTGATTGATGGAAAATACTCAGGAGAGTATGTGAAAATAAATGAATGAGTGTACATAATATTCTATATTCTGGTTGTTTTGGAGGGGAGTGAGAAATGTTTTTATTGTTCTGAAAATTGGTGCCAATTTTCACCTATGTATATTCAGCATGGAATTATTTTACATTCAGAATCTACCAAATAAGAGTATCCTCTAGCATAACCTTCAGTTTGAAACTGTGAATAGAAGTGTGAATGAGGAATGTTGAGAATCGGCTCTAGAATAGCTTAATTGGAATTTTAAAGAGAATCTTGTTTATCATTGATACCATAGAAACAACTAGAAAAGATAAGTAAAGTCTTCTCTGATCATATCTCTATATATAATAATTTGCTAAAAGTATGTTTGCTGTCTTAGCGATTGATTGCATAAGAACCAATCAAATGTGTAGTTGCCTAGTGTTCTGTAGGCCAATGTGGCCGATGTGATTTCTCAGTCACGCTGATCAGTCATTGCCAACCAACGTGGACCTAACTCCACGTGCCTCTCCTTTTCCTGCACGCACAGTCTCAATTCAGGACCATAAACCACCAAATGCTCTGATTAAGAGTAATCTGTAAATGACCTAGAAAAACTCAAAATCCACAGAGGAGTGGCGATTGAAAGGAATGCTTCAATGCATATAGACAATAAAAAAGAAAAAAAGGAAGAAATCCTCTACTGCTTCCCTGGGAGGGCCCCTGCGATGTGAGCTGTAACGAATATTCTGCATATGTCTCCATTTTGTCAAATCTCATTAAAGAGTCCTCCTGCTTTATGTCAATTGAGCTGTCTAGAAATCATTCATCATTTTTAGTGTAAGAAAAAATCATGCGGTTATTTAAATAATATCATATTAATGTTAAAGTTCAGCTGTCATTTAATGGTATGGCTTAATCAGATGTAGCATTTAGGAAAAATAGTTTATTCGGGCTCCACGTGGCTTTCAGGTTGGCAGATTCAAATAAGGATTTATGGGTTTCTAAACCAATGTATTTCTGTCCATGTTTCTGCTTGATGTACCTCACCCTTTTGTGCAGGACACTGCAGACAGTTATTTCAACAAATAAAGCATCTCCTCATATTGTGTTTGAATAAATTTGCAAATCATTTAGAGAGGGTGAAGCACAAACAACTTCTACAACCTTTGACTGGGCCTTCTGTAGGGAAATCACGCTAACGTGGTTGTTTCATAAGCTTGCAGAGGAAAATTACTCTGCTGAAATCTACTTGGAGTTCTCTTTGTAGGCCAACTCAGTCAGTCACCAGCTCGTCACCTTTTGGGATCTATGTAGAATATAAACAGAAATAAAAATCCCCAGATAGACAGCACCTTGCTATGTCTGAGCTAAGGAAAGGCTTAAGTCCACCTGTGCATTAGGGTGACTGTTTATTAGTAGGCACAACTGGGCTCTTGGTATCAGCCAAGGTGCCCAGGTACTTTTCATCAATGCTGTAACCTAAGTCTGGGAACCAAATGCGGATAAGTGGTTTTGTTTTAGTTTCTAATTACTCTCCCACATGATATACAATTTATTTTGGACTTGGGGAAAGGCAAATATATTTTATCAACTTCTTTACTTCATTATTTTTTATTATTCCCTGGGAAAACAGTCTGGAGAAATGGAACTAGAGTTTAGGTGCCAAAGTCTTTCATTTAATGCTCTGATGTTGCGTCCTCTGTTACCTCCCCCCGTTCCACAGCATTTACTTCCAGCACTGGGGAGGTTTTATTTCAGAAAGAGAAGTCACATTCTCTTATCAAAACTGCATAGCTACATCATGTGTCAACAGGTGCTTCTGATTTAGGAAAAGTTGTAATATTGAACCATATGCTCATCCGTCACCTTCACAAAATGTATAAAAGAAATGAACGTCCTCTTTGTGCAGGGTAGGTGTTTACCTGCATGCAACATAAGCTTATTTTCATATGATAAATTCTGTATGACTGAGAATAGTTAAATATTCTACAAATATACCAAACCAAGAAATTATTTTATTTAAAAGAAACACTACCGATTATTTTTAATTTTTTAAAGTTAAATTGTTTTTTAATTTGTAAAATGAACAAAAATGGCATGCCATGGCCCCTTATTTGGGTAATTTTACTTATATTGATTAGTCTATTGTGAAGACAGCTGAAACCAGTGTTCCACTAGTGCCAAAGTCTGGATGTAAATCCACCTGATTATCTGTAAGACTGACCAAAAGCAGAGAGGGTAATAAAAACGAGTAAGGGGCAGCCACTCCATTCAGGCTTTTTAATCTTTGATCAACTTCAAATGAGGTGAAAATTCTGTTTCCTTCCTCCCTCCCTCCCTTTCTTTCTTCCATTCTGCCTTCCTTCCTCCCTTCCTCTCTTCCTTCCTTCTTTCCTTTCTTTTTTCTGCTTATTCACTTCCTCAGCAAATAATTAATGCCTGTGTACAAGGCCTTGGGGATCCTCAAATGAAACCAATTTAATCCTTGCCTTCAGAGTGCTTCTGTGTGGTAGAGAATATGTGCGTATAAAATGCTGTGAGAATTCATAAAATTATCCATTTCTCAAGGAAGCTATTGAAGATTCTACACCTCCAGTTAATCCTTGCTGGTCATTAAAAAGGGCACCAGGACAATAAATAACCAATAGAAAATATGATTTAAAAAGCTATAAAACCAGTGTGTTTGGAAAAAATTAGAGAACTGGAAGGTGATTTATGGAATCATAGCATGAACAAGTTTTGAAAGAAACTAAACTATGCAGAAAATATTGAGATATATCTAGCTTAGTGCGATAGCAGCTGATTCAACCAGAAGAAGTCAATAAATTATTCTGCATGTAACTACACTATGCATATTACCAAAAGAAAGCAAACAAAGGAGAAAAATTGGTCCATTCAAAATTATAATAGTAGTAAAACTTGACATCAGAATGCAGATATAGCTGATTTCCTGGAAAGTAATTTTTCTTCAGGCTTGACATAAGATGGAGAGCTACCTAGGGACAAACTGGTCATTTCCTGACTATGTAGAGAGAGTTTTAAATAAGTGGTATTCAGATAATAATGAAAATGGTCATGAAACAAATGACCTCATTCATGTAGTGTCTGGGGCCAAAGAAATGGATTGTTCATTGACTTTCACAAAATTTGATTATTATAATTGGTTATCTTAAAGTGTCACCGTAGCACTGAGAGACGTACATGTTGTTCTTCATATATTTGCATGGATGTGCATGTTTGTGTGTGTTGTTTTTCCCAATACATTTAACTGGGAAGTCTTATCAGATCCAACAGTGCTGGCTATCAGTGAAAATGAAAATAGAAGTTTTCCAGATTTTCAGTCAGGAAACGAAGGACATCATGATTGTATTTCTTTTTACTACTGAAGAGTGAATAATTTATCCGTAAGAGTGTACTGGTTTCTAAAAGCATCTGAAGGGTTCCTTAGAAATGTAACAAAGTTATAATTTGAGATCTCCATTGACATAAATTTGGAGGACACGTTACTAATTTATGTTGGCTCATTGACTGCATATATATACTGGCAAAAGTCTTACAAAAAGAAATGGCATATATAATATTTTTAAAAAACACCTTTTTCTGTATGATTACCTTAGTATCAAATAATTTCCTCTCTCCTGGACACTACCTATATTTGCCCCTACTATTTCTACAAATTAAAAAAATCAGAATATTTCCTTCAGAAAGTGAGTGCTGTTTATCCTTCCAGCATGCATGGAGTAACTTCTTAAGCATGTAACTGTTGAGAGGTCTTTTGCAATTAATCTGTAATATCAACAAAGCAGATGGTATTAAATGCAGTTGACCTAACTAGCACTATTCATACATTACTATTTAACACATGTATTTTTGCTAGAGCTACTTCTGAGTCAATCTGGGGAATAATTGCCACCCTTCATTGCTATCACATTTTACATTTTAAATATGATTTTGTTGCTTTGGTAGAATGACAGGTAAAACATCAGGAAAACTTAAATATACTGTCAGAATGATTCCTAAGGGTAAGTATACCAGAAATACCAATGCAAGACCTATAAGCAACAGAAATATAATTTTTTTAAACCAACAGATTTATTCTTAAAGAAATAGGCCATGACTTCTCTAAAAATTCATTCTTTCCCCCACCCTTGTTTTGCCCAGGAAGCATTTTTTTATATTTTAATTGTCCTTATTACAATGTCTTGAAAATTCAACAGTAGAGAGTTTTCAAGACTTGTGAGAAAAATGTCCTTGAGAATTTTCTCTCGACTTTTATGCAGTGAACAGTGTGTCTTCTCTCACAGTACCTTATATTTACATTTTACCTTTTCTCTCGGTTTTTTTTTTTTTTTTTTTTTTTTTTTTTTTTTTGCTTTTCTCAGTTTATCTCATTCCTCTTTCTTGGCTTGTTTTTACTAGTGATGAACATGGGTCCTGACCTGAAATTAGTA